AACGATCTCGTACTTGGCCAAGCATGAGCTGAGTATCGGCTTGAGTATCGTTTATAAATACGGGCATAAATCCAACATTTTGAAAATTTTACATTCCATACGAACATCATTTTTAAAGTCGTCAGGATAATATTGTCGTAATTCATTTATCAATGGCATATGCCCATATTTATTACGATCTTTCCTCAATTTTACGATTTTTTCACCCATTTTCTCGTTCAGCTAGACACAAAGCCACTTTAGTCTAGGGGAGGTAGCCGCAGGAAAGAATATTCATGTATGTATGTATCTTGGGGTAGTTTCTTTATTTTATATTTTATATTAAGTTTCAAATGTACGCTTTTCACTAGAATATAAATTTACTTATTTAACGTATTAAATTAAAATCACGAAAAACACAAAATAACAAATGAAAAATTTTACAGATCGGGTCGCTGACCCAACCCAGCTGAAAATTTTCAATTTTAAATTCATCTAAAATCCGCACTGAACATTATTTTTGACTTGTGGTGCACTCATTACGGCTCTGAATAACGTGACTTTGCTTTTGTGGATTAAACCCATTACTTTCTGTTTTATTAAATGTTCGCCAGTTGGAATTTGAATCACAAACAGTTTTTCCGCTGGGGATTTGATAATAGACCGATGTTTGAATCCATTTAACCCTGTAAATCGACCAGTTTTTAGCGCATGCAGAATGGTAATTGAGGAACTTACCTTTATATTCGTATATTTGAACAAACTTTTTGTTCTCAATGAATGCCAGTAAGGTTTCTCCATTTTCCAAATCCAATGACTGAAGCGATGTTGGTTTATGCGTGAAAATTTGATCGTACAATTTTCCAGAAACAGAATCTGAGTAAATCTGAAAATTTGAAATTTGTAACAATAGAGTGCGCTGCTTTTGACAGTCAGAACTATTCCTTTACGGCAGTCAGTCGCGGACATTTTTTAAGTATTTTTTTTACCCACTCTGCTGAATGACGTGAAAGATGATACTCAAAACCAGTGTCTCATTTTCGGTGTTCAAATCCACGATGGTTTTGAACAGAACACACAGATCTTTAGTGTTAAGCCGGCGCTACACGATGCGTGCTTGAAGGTTCATCACATCGTGTGGCCAACTTTTTCAACCGAGCTACGAATGTCGAGCGTCGAACGTTCACGTTGGAGCATATTCCGGCCTTTGTCGGTATTTTTGACCGAGTCAAAGGGATCGCTGCAACGCTCGGAGAAAAACATTCGTTTTGATGATTTGATTTGATGCACAGCTTCACGATTCGTTCGAACTAGTTTGTTTTTTATAAACTTTTTAGTGGATTTAACCGCGTAGTTAAAAATTAAATTGAAAGTATTGTTGATTTCATTCTACAAAGGGGTATATTTTTTTAATTATAATTATTGGTAATACATCCCGTTAAACATTTTATAAAATTTGTTTGAAAAACATTATTAGTGATGAATGAGACTAAAGACCAAAACCAAAACTATGTATGCAAGAACAAGACCAAAACCATGTCCTGCAATACCAAATTTTTGCAAGACTTGTGCGAGAGTCTCGCAAGACCATACGGATCGCACTAATGTTTGGTTTGAAGTAGAATTGAGCAACAAATCACTACCTGTGATTTTTTCACAGCGATTAATAAATGCCAATAACAATAAATCAAAATATAATCTAAAACGTAATTGACACAAATGTGATATTAAAGTGCGACGAAACGCTACTATTGCGCGTTGTGCGTAGTGATCAGATGTTGCGCATGTGGACCGGCGAAAGAACGAACCCAAATAAAATTATTTTGCTCTTTAAATCGTTAATAAAAGCTTGCATTCACGGTTTCATTTGAGCCTGGATTTTATTGTTATTTTTTAGTGTTCTTAAAATCATTTGCACTTTATTATTTGTTATATACCTAAATAAGGTTATTTATTTTAAAACAATAATTACAAATGTTTTAAAATTGTTTCTGCAAGTGGGGCACAATGACATCACCTTATAACGCTCCTGTATCACGAAAACGGCAACGACAAGTGAAATCACATTCACAGGGTAAAAAACACATTCACAGTTATAACATTGATTTTGGTAAAACAAAACGAAATGTGGTTAAACGGTAATCCGATACCAAACAGCTTTGCATCTGCTCTCGGAGCAAATTGAGTCTTAAACACTTAACATTATTTTGCATAAGAAAATTAGAAACCAAAGCGGTGAACAAGTGTCAGGAAAATCAAACAGCACTTAAAATGTGATCAATTCCAGATTTTTTCTTTTTTTTTCAGATTATCGAAATCGGAGAGTAGGTGGGATAAATATTTGGAAAATATTGGTTTGTTAGTTCGTCGTCGATATTGCTTACGTTCTTCTTGAAAATGCTTTACTTTCATGGAATTTCGACAACATTTTGATAACTATTAATACAAAGTGTTAAAAAATAAGTTTTAAAATGACGTTGAGCAAATCATTCACACAAGTAAAAACTCGTACCGCTGCGGCTATAACTGCAGCGTCAGCAGTATCCTGCATATTGAGGAATGTAGACAAACGTTTGAACCACAATTCAAAAGGAATTTTGCTTCATGCATTCGACACACTGTAGCAGATACATTTGCCGCACGAACTGTCGAACTTTTTGACTCAAATGTTCGGTCCAACGTTGGAGCGAATGTTCGGCGCATCGTGTATTATGTGTATTTCGCATCTTATGCAACAACTCGGGTCAGATCCGATGACACCAAACGTTTTAATGATGCTTGGCAAATTAATCGTCTTTTCGCCTCTTTATAACTGAATTACGTACCTCAATACTGTCCAAATTTTTATGCACTTCGGACTCTCTGTGACAAGTCACAGCTTGCAGTTTGTATTTATTGGCTCTGGATCCAACGGGAACAAGAACAAACTCAGACCCATTTCGTCCAGGTATTATACTGTTTGATTGCTTTGTGAAGTTTCCAATAATAGTTGATTTGTAGAAATGGCCTGTTCTTTTAGTCGTCACCTTCTGACCTCGATTGAGATATATTAATTTGGTTCCTGTACTGAGTACGAGTCCAGTTTTGAAACCTCGTGGTGCAAACCTACAATTATCTAAATATTTGCGTTCAATAATCATGAGTGGTCCGAAATGATTTTGCGCAAACCTTCTGTAATGTTCCACTTCCTGTATTCGTCAATTCCCACTTCTTCAAGGGGATTTAATTTGAACTCAGTTACCACACCTTGCTTCAGCCCGTAAAATGTTCGTGGCTGTAGAGAATTTTGTAACAGATCTTGAGGTGGCAAGCTGCTTATAGCCTGCAATAACCTTTTTAAAATGCTTCTAACGAGGTCTAAAAAGGGTCGATAACCTTACTTCTAATTCTTCATTTATCCATTTCCACAGGATCGTACTATCTTCGATGTTGCATTGCAGACCGTCGATGTTTTGAATGCTAGACACTAGAAGCAACCGGTTTTTCTCATGTACCATTTCAAGTTGAGAAATGCTGCCAGTTTCGATAGTTTTTGTTTTAGCAAATCCATCCGGAAATAATTTCCATATTTCGGAAAAGCAGGAGTTTTCTTCGTTTACCAGTAAATAATGTTCGTTTCCATGAGAAATATATTTTATGTAGTTTATGCTGGTTGGGAATTGCAGACTTTGGAAGTCCTCAAAATAACGAAACTTTGAAATTTGGTTTTGAGTGCCGTTGTAAATGTCGGTCATGACTTCGCAAAGATCTTTAAAATCTGTCTGAAATAAAAAAATATTTAAATTGTTTAAAGCAACAAGTTCATGATTTGTGAAAATCAACATATCATTTTATAGAGTATTAGTTTAAATGGTATAATTTTTTATACACAGGGTGAATTATTGAAGAATCATTATTATGATACCCCCGAGCTTGTTTTGATTATTCATGATAGTTGGATACGCTGGAAAATACAATAGTCTTAACTACCAAAACAATAGAAAACCACGGTAACACCATAACGCCATCCATCTCCACTTTCAAGAAGATTGGTAGACGAGGTCCAATTGAGTGGCCACCTAGGCTCCCGGACTTAAATCCTCTGGACTTTTTTCCTTGGGGTTATTTGAAAAGTACATTTTACGACTTGAAACCAGAGTCGATTGAAGAGCTTCGATCACTCATTACCTACATTGAAGCACGATTACTAAGAAAACTTATAGCCTGAGCTGTATTCATTGACCTATCGACGGCTTAGGACACAGTCTGGTCAGAAAGCATGATATAGAAGCTTCTACGTGTAATCCCTTGCAAACTAACAGCCCAACTGCTAAACAGCATCTTCAACGACCCAGTATTTCAAGTAGCCATAGGATCTGACATCAGATCTCTAAGGAAACGAAAGAACCGGCTACAACACGGCTGAGTCCTTGCCTCGCTCCTTTTAAGCCTATAAATTACCGACATGCTAGAAACAAGATCAATAAATTAGATTCCTTCCACCACCTTCCACCAAACTCTTGATTCGGTAAGTTCTCTGTTTACGCATGATAATAAGATTCTGAAACATGTGAATTGTCACTCGCTTGGTCTAGACCGTGAATTTGCTACCACCGATTTTAAGCGAAGGAAATTTTTTAAGGAAATAAACAAATTCCCCGGGAGTGCTCACGTAGACGCATGAAAATAAGGCCTCAGGACCCGCAGATCAGGATCCGTAAGAGAGCAGCAGGCAACAGAGCCCCTACGAACCTACTGAAAACAGCGATTCAAAGAATGGCAACAACTAGGAGGTAATTCTGTTATTTTTGGGTTATCACGACTTGACTCTACGACGAATTTATACATTTTTTTGCCAAAAGGCAGGCACCGGCAGCACAAACGTGGAAGATATAAGATCGTCGCAATCCATTAATTATCGTTTTTTGTTAGACTGTAGGTCAAAACGAATCCTTATGGAGTGTAGACGAGTTATGCCACGTCGCGATAGAATGGAATCCGGTTAACTTTGTGATGAAAGTTTCATTCCTCTGTCCAAGTCCTCTACCAAAAACTCTGAACAGTATGACTTACTTCTTTTTGTTGCTTCCGATATTGTTTAATATTGCCAAATACTTACTGCAGTTTCTTGATAACCGTCTAAATAACTTTCCATTTCACTGAATTTTTGTAGAAGGTCGGTGGTACTTCTGTTGTTCAATGTCGCGCCACCATTCAAAGGGCCAGAAAGATTCTGATTCCTCATGTCTATCCGGCTCAGCCTAGCCTGCTGAGGTTTGCTAGATTCAATAGGAACAGCACGTATTTCCCACGACGTTAAATTGATGTCATTAATAAGACCCTCAACTGAAAATTCCAAAATATACAAAACAAACTCCTGTTTAAAATTACAGTGAGCAGCAAAATTAATGAGTGGGGTATTTTGAACTTGTGTTGACTGTTTGTCCGGAGCCATACATCTTGTACATGCAGTTGCATTTAATTATGGAGTTTATGAGCCTACTTTGAGCCCTATTTTAGGATGAATTGAAATGTGGAAGAAAATATCGGCAAGACGTGGAACAAGTAAGAGCGCCAATGAGGAAAAACCACTAAAGTTAAAGACGTCGCTTTTCATATGGTATGTACGGTGTGATCAAGTTATCCGAAAGTCAGGTCAATTTGCCTGGTGATATCTGCTATCTGGTTGTCTCTGCCAAGCTTAATGTTGTCGCCAAGGTACTCACACTTTTAACAACCAAAAAGCGTGTGGTTGGCGAGTGTGACTTGGAAGTCATCTTGACTCATGATCTTAGTCATTTGGAGATTCCTCCTCAAGCCCGCGGATTCCGAAGCTTTCTCTTTTGGAAAGGAGCTTGTATAACACGGAAAGGAGGTCAACCGGCCGGTAACTACCAATGTTTGTAGAGTCGCCCTTGTTGAAAAGGATGGTGACCTCAGTATTTATCGATGCTTCTGGAATCCTTCCCTTTTCGAGGCATTTGTTAAAGAGAGTGTGAAGTGGCTTGTCCACAGCTTCTTCACCAGTCTCCAGCATCTCACTCGCCACTTGGCATTCTGTTGGAACTTTACGATTTCTCATCTGCTCTCAGCTCCAATCTATCAATTCAGAAAATCCCCTTGGAACCGACGTTCTAGACCACTCCACCTCTGTGTTCGTGGAGATAGTCACGTTCTGATACTGACTGGTTCTATAGTCTCCAATGGAAATTCTCGATGATCGCAACGATTTTGCCTTTACCTGACACAACTATGCCCCGCTCCGTCCTCATTTTATAGATGAGTGGTTTTCCTTCAGCTGTTATGGAACGGGGATTCTTATGTTCATATTGTCCTCGATGGCTTCTCGAATCGTTTGTGAGTTCTGCGCTTATAAGTCTCTGCGGATGGTTCTCTTTACTAGTTTGTCCAGCTGACGGTACTCCGGTTCATCGCGATAAATGAGAGTGAGCTTCGAGTTTCCCTGCTTTCTAAAGGTGGAGACTTTCTTTGTTGTAACTGCGATACTTTTCTCGATTTTTCCTGTCAGCTCATTTAACTCTAAATCTGTCAGCCTGTCCGTCGGTTCTTATCCCTGTACGAGCTGTCTACTGAACTCCTCCTGCTTCGCCGCCAACTGAGTGCTCTCTGGTGTCAGCCTCTTCACAATCAGCTTATTTCTTCCCGATCTAGTACCGACGCATATTTTAGTTCTCAGTAGTCTTGGTCGCTTTACGTGTTGAAGCGATTTAGGGCGACACAGGCGATCCCGTCTTTGACTATACCGTCAGGGCTTTTCCAAGTCTATTTCTTTGCAGAGGTTTTTGATAGAAGGTGTTCATGCAATAAAACCCTTCTCTGACCAGGAAATTCAGCATCGTTTGCCCTCTGTCATTACGTGGTCCGCTTCAGTTTTTCTTTCGATTTTAGCATTGAAGTGTCCGGTGGGAATGTTAAACTTTGTTTTTTCCGCATTTTTTGTCATGAAACGGCCTTCGTAGAACTGCTCTATTTCTTCAACAGGCGCGGCGGCCGTTGGGGCATAAGCTTGAGTGACCTGTATGCTGTATTTACTATTAAATTTCGGGATGAGGTAGATGATTCGGACAACAAATTCAAGTTCGCTGAAAAATTGTGACTATTTTTAAATAAGTTTAATCCCTACTTTTAACGGCTTTGAAAATATACGCCAACACCTAAAATTATTTCATTTGAGTTAAAAAAATTAAACGTTCCGTTGCTTAAAACAAATGTTGGTGAACTTGTAAAACATTTTTCAACAATTACTAAGTTTACCATTCTTTGCGTTTGGATTATTAATTATAGACCTAATTATTATAATAATTACTTAGGTATTTATATAAGCAATTTTTTTTAAACAGTGAAAACCTTTCGTCGTCAGCAGAGCCGTCATGAGCTTTTGAAATAGGCAAATGCAGCTTTCTAAATGCGCCAACCTCAGGCAGCCCCAGGACCGGTTTCGAACCTATTAGGCTTCATCAGCTCAGTCTAGCTTTTCAGGTTAAACCCCGCGATTCACGTGCAGGTTTCGCGGTCGCTAATTTCAAGCTGTAGCCAGTTGATGAGAGCTAATAGGCTCGAAACCGGTCCTGGGGGTGTCTGAGGATGGCGCATTTCGAATTGTGCACTTGCCTATTTCAATTTTTTAAATTTAATAACATAAAATCTGTTGATTTAAGGCATGGGAAACTGATACCTATTTTTAAAGCTCTGTGATAACAAAATTGTTGCGCCCACTACAATTTCACAAATGTTACGTTTCCTAAGATTTTATATAGAAAATTTGTATAACAATCTTGTTAAATAATACATAAAATCCACAACAAAGTGGATGAGAACAGCCAGAGATAGAACATGGAAAATACTGGAAAAGGCCTATACAGGGTGATTCAAAATTGGCGTCATGCCTTTTAAGGGGTGATAGAGGCTCCTTTGGGGAGTACCAGAAAAATATTGACATTTTTTTTTCGAAAATTTCTAGAAGATATTAACAGTTGAAGATCGAATTTCAACTTTGTTATTAAGAATTATTTTGGAAAAATCCCACGTTGGATTGACAGCCTATTGGAATACTTAAGCATTCAAAAAGAAAAATTACGATCTTTGCTTCAAATTACGAAAATTTTTGATACCAAAAAAGTTCTCTTTTACAATTTTTTAATGAAAAGGCACAGCGGCAATGATGTTTTTTGTCATTAGCGGATAGTTACAGGTGGATAGCCCTTGTCAATAATAAATTGTGACTTACTTTGAATTTCCTTTCACGAATTTGCTGATATGCGATTAAATCAGGGGAAATTCTACAGTAACAAAGCAGAAGCTGAAAGAACTCACGCCAACAAAGGGCGAGGAGAGTGGTTCCAGTAAGATAGTGGACGACAATTGATGTTCGGGTTCCAGACACAGAGGAACAAGTATTGGGCATAATCGAATCAGGGCTTTCCAGGGGCACTCAGAGCACAATAACTGACACTTTCCCAAGTACCAAATAAATACCGAGGAAGGACTACATTCCTACCTACCACGTTTGTACGATACACACAGCACAAGAAGATACAAATGGAGCACGAGTTAATTAACTGAATAAGAGAAGCTGCTTGATGAGAGTGGATAATAAGGAGATTACACAGGCACTAGCTTGTTTGGAGTTAATCTTTCAAATGTTTGGTGTTGTATGGATTATTAATGTAAACACAAAACTCTGCAGAATTCGAGGTTATGAGAACAGGTTGACATTTCGTCAACAAATCTTGTTGAATTTACCGTTTATCCTTGTCTTATTGTCAGTCTGTATAATTCCATGGTTACCGGAGTTTTAAATAATTACGAAGCAACAGGTATTTGCGCAATGTTAATTAGGCAGATTACCTTGAAAAATGTTGCTGCCGTATTTCTGATATAGTTTTTTGCAAATTTCTCAGTTTTTAGTAACAATTAATTTATTTTACTAATTTTTCTGTACTCCTATAACAGCGCCAGACAACACCTCCAGAGGAATGACGCCAATTTTGAATCACCCTGTATAGAACACTGGATGAAAAAAGGCTGAAGAAGAAGAATACCGAATACTGAGGAAGAAGGAGAAATTTAATGATTGGATTAAAAATGTTCCAGGTGGTATTATTACCTTTTAGAGGAAGAGAGAGAAGATTATTAACTTCCACTCATTGCATATTGCCGCTAATATATTTTCCGATTTTGTACTTTAGTAGAGAAGATCTACCAACACCTGACATTAGTAGTATAACTAAATTAAAAATATTAATAAATAATATAGAGACGGTTTTCGTCGGTAACATCGGAACAAGAAATCATGTAAGATGCTTGCCATTGTTGAAACGAGGTTTACCAACCTCAGGCACCCTCAGGTCGGGTTTCAAGGCTAAATCTGTTCTTGAATCGCGGTCGCTAATTTCAGGCTAAACCCAGCTGATGAGAGCTAAAACACTCGAAACCGGTTCTGGGGCTGCCTGCGGTTGGCGAACCTCGACACGTACACTATCTTACATTACCTATTAAATTGTCGTTGGTTACCACTTTCGACATGAAATTATAAGTCGCTGTTAAGTTTTGATCGGTATTAGTGGTGACTATGTCCGAGACGGATTTGTTGTTTAAGTTGAAGGCCGTTAATGTTTTCTCCACTAAAACATTGTTCGAAAATACTATTTTCGAATCCACATGTTGTTCAATGTTTCTAGAGAATGTATTGACTTTCTCCATCATCAATATTTTTCCGTGTACGTGTTGTCCTACTGCAACATCGTGAGTCAGTTGCATATCATCAACATCCAACCGACTAATGTTTTGCTCAGTTTTCAATGGAATTATTAAGTTCATGTCAATATCGTTGAGGAAACGAGCATAAAATTTGCCTCTAACACCTGCTTCATCGAAAAAATATGGCCCTTTAAGTATGCCTTTATCAATAAAAACTCCATTATTGACTAAGTCTTGCAGGTTTTCGTTAAACAGTGACTTGGTAATCAGCTGCTGTTTAACTTTAAGTGGCTTCATACATTCAAGAGAATGTTTGAAGGCAACTGGTCCTTCTAAGTGGGTATCTTGAGTTATCCAAACGGCTCGTGAAAGTAATTCTGATAAATTGATTTCGTTGATTCCAGACATTGTTCCCAAATTTCCTTTCAAATGAACCTAAAATGGTTTATATAAAACTTGGTATAATTAAATCAGCATTTTTGTTACAGAAGACTGGAATACGACATCATCTTCCAAGTGCGGGTTATGATTAAGATAGACAAACTCTTCCTTGATGGTGTTGAAGTAATTTATTGAGTTGATGGGTCCTTGTATTGTCAAATTTGTTATGTATGGAAGTCGAGGGAATATATATTCTCCTAAAACAAAAGCGATAATGAAGCTGAGGGTTACCGCAGACATCTGGATATTATGGATAAACGTCCTATTTATAAATAATAAATAATGGAAATCATTTGTTCATACGTGCATAAGTGTGCTCTCAGCTTTAATGCCGTGGTAGTATCTAGTACCGCGTTGTCATATGTCAAACCATTCTGACATACGACACCAACGTCACCACAGTGGGACATTCAGCTCTTCAGACATTGTTGCGGCATTTACCTCACGACCTTAGTGTCACAGTGTGAACGGGCTTTTAGCCGACTAAACCGCGAATGCGAAGTTAGCTGGTAATGCATAGGCTGCAGAGCTGAGCCTAAGCAACAATATTTAAATTCTTGGAAATGGGAATGATCAATTCATTTTTTCAAATAATTATTTAAGTGTTTGCGATTATTTTAGGTAGTTTACTTCTGCGGTAATTTATTTACTGTTGCGATTGCGTCCTTTGTTATCTTAGGGAGAACTAGTGAATATGAATCAGTAAAAAGTGGCCAAAAATTCATATCCATTCAATTGCCTTAAAGCAAAAAACACTAGGCCCGGGTAACTAAGTGAATTTTTAGGAGTTGGTGCAGTGTTGCGCAAATGGCTTGATGCGTCAATGCAGCGCATCGGCGCAGTAGCTCAGCTCCATTTGCTGAGCCGCCTTCCCTATGACGGACGGAGCCAACTACCAGTTTCATAAAGACACGAAATGTGCAGGAACGGTCAAGTATGGACAATGGCAGGAAGTGATTAATATGACTGGCAGACAATAGGCACAAATCGGTAACAAATCGGGAGGCAAATATATGCTAATAGGAAAGGAACAAGCAGAACTTAAACATTTCCATAGAGCACGGCACGGAGTTCCCTTGATCGGTGCTTTTAATCTGATGGCAGGTATTGCTTAACGCTTCACGGATGGGGTATGCCGTCAGGCAAGAAACCGGGCGACATGCTCAAACAAGAGAAATATATAATATTCTCTATGCCATCCAGAATTATTGGCGAAGGCTTAAGCGCTTTTTTAGCTACCTGCTTTTCTTTTTCTATGTCCTTTATAGTGATTTATCGAAGGCTAAGTGATGGTCTTCTTCTTCTTTCCTGCCTTTCGCCCTTATCCATTCAGTCTCCTTACTTGATTCGTCCTCAGCAGTAAAGTACTGTGCCAGTTTATCTTATTCTGTTTGGGCTGGTGCCCATTGCGCCATCTTTTTTCTTCTTGTTCCTGTGCTGTACTCTCTTCGAGAGCGTAGGCGACCGTGGTAGATTGTCATTGCTTTCCACGAGGTGGCCACAGTATAGCTGCGTGAAAAATTTTCACTTCTTGGACAGTGGTAGAACCTGGGATCTCAGGCATTGCAAGCAGATGCGTGCACCACCACACCACTGTGACCACTCAATCTTTTTAATAACGCCTCAAATTTGGCTTCTCTCTGCATGAATTTTTGCAGGTTTTCGAGTTGCTGCTGAATGACATTAAATTTGCTAACTATGCAATATCGTTCATCCTCAGCATTATAAAGTTTCTGTGCGTTCTGCGATCTCACGCTATTTTCTTGAAATAGCTCGTTGTTTCGTTGGATTAATTACGCCTCATTAGGCGTAGACTGTATTGGTGTTTTTTGAAACATTTTTGTACGATAACTTAAGGTCGTGAACTTGAACTTCGGATATCACTCGCGCATGGAACTATTTAAAGAGCTATTACGTGAAGGGCGACTGAACCGAAGTAACACGTCTGCTCGGTCCAAAGGCTCGACCAATACGGTATAATTACCACTATGTATATATAACCAAGAAAATGCATCACGTGTTTCTACGTGAACTCCCTATATAACGAACTCCTTAAGCTCTTTATATCCAGACACAACAGTTTATCAAATTCGTATTGGCACTAGACAAATTGCTGACTAATTCTGACATTCTAAGCTTACCTTTAACATTTAAAGTGTCCTGTTCGATATAGAAAGTTTCAAAGATGTTTGTTACATGCACGTCGTTGACCATTTCTTCAACTAAAAATTCATTTGGGATCCAAATATTCCCGGTTACATGTAATGAGCCAACAACAAGTTGACTTCCAGTGGTCCGGAAAATATTGCCTAGCAGAACTCCATTGATGCTCGCTGTTTCGACTAGTTTTATTGCAGTTAAACCATTTTGAAACCACACAGAGTTACTTATGGTTATATCAGTTTGGTTTTTGAAAACCAAACTCGAAATATAGTTGTTAAAGTTCTTGTTGGATAACTTGTCAATTTGCACGGTTTTGAAATGTGTATCACCCTTTAAAACAATGCTTTCTTGAATTATAATGCTTCGAGAAATGAATATTGTAGATAAATACTTACTTCAATAACTACCGAGCTTAAGTTGTGACGAAGCAGCACCCATGGATGGCTGTTGATTATGTCTCTAAAGCTAATGTTGTTTAGTTGATATATCGCTATATCTCTATCGATGCTTAAGCCTGCAAAAAGCTATGGTTTAATTCCTATCTTTCAAGTACTTTTCTCAGAATGTTAACTTACTTTCTATAGTAGCGTTCCTGTACGTTAAAATGTCTGTCACATTAGCACAGAGCTTTTCTGAGGAAAAAACATTATCAGCGTTAACTCCATTGATGGTTTTAGCTGTTAAGATTTCGACATTTATTCTAGACAAATTGTATGCTCCGGTAACCAATTGATCGTCTACAAAGTTCAAGTTTCCTTCTTGTAAGGGAATAAACGCCGGATTGGAAATATTGCCCACTAAGTTGCCTTGAACTTCTACCCGTTCAGCATCAGCTTGCTCCAAACTCAACGCTTCCACTCCAACTGTAGAATCTTCATTCAATTGATCTACAGCGAATTCATCAGTTTGTAGATATTCATCAAATATCAGCTCCGATGAAATGCTTTGATTTCCTTCAAGTTTAATTAGCGATCCATAGAGATCGCTGATGTTCTGTTTGTTGAAAAGTCCATGAACCAGTAAATTTTGAAACTGTATGTGATCTAGAAAAGTGTTGATTTCAAACACTTCCTCAAAGTTTTCGGTGACAGTTGAGTTCAATGTAATGTTGTTGATCATTCCTGAATAGACCTGAAAATCTTCTTTCACGCGAAGTGAATGCTGAAATATTTTCAATCCAGTGATGGTTGCATTTTTTCGCTAAAAAAAAGGAACTTTTTCATCTTCCGGTATGTGGTAACTTTCTAGGCAGGCCTGGGTAACACTGTGATGAGTTGCTGCCGCACTCTGAGTTAACGAGTTATAACTCATCGGTTAATTGATTGAATGTTTGCGAGACCTGAGGCTGGAATTTTTATTCATCTAGACTTTCCCACCACTAGAACACAGTCCAAACTGTAAATACGACAGGTTTTCTCGTAAAAACGATCTCTTAATTTTTTTGCATAAAAGACCCAGTTTGTGAGTATTTTACAGTTAAACGTTTGAGAAAACGCGGTTTTTCTGTTTAGCGACAGTGTTGTTTGGAAATATTGACCCAAAAGTGCAGAAACCCCAATTTCCAACCGTTTTACAAATAAATGCTTACAAACTTTGGCTTTTTCCGTTCGGAAAATAATTTTAGCAAAATACCAGAGAAGATTTTGACCAAAATTTAAAGCTGCAAAAAGTTTTCCAAACATTTTTGCAAAGCGGTTAAGGAGACGAGTGTTCCAAATATGTATCTTATAATTTTTCACAGAAAATACCTGAAGATTGTCGGTACGTTGAGTCTAACTAAAAAATAAGGCGTTTTTGCGTAGGCGTAGGGCTAAGGCGTAGTTGCTTAATAAAAATTTTGTTAAAAATTAAAAAACCTGAAATTTTTATGAAACTTGAAGTTACTTATAAACCGATGAATGAGGAAATTTTCGAGAAAAATTAATTTTGTCATTTTTGGCTGAAAATTTCCCATTATTGTCAGAAAAGAAAAAATACAGGGAATATGATTAAAATCAATTAGAAGTACAGGGCTTTCAGCTCATCATTAATATGTATTTAGTGTAGTCTGTCTCGTTATTTGACAAACAATGTGACTGAAATGTTAAATATTTCATCAAGCTGTATAAAAAATGATAGAATAGTCTGGAGGGTTCCCAGCCTTCTTATGGACAAACAATTAGCACCCTGAGGAAGGCGACAATGAATTGCCGCAGGCTTGGCAGCTAAAAAGTTTTTATTTTTCTTCACCACTGACCATACCGAATTTCCAAGAAAATCAACCATCTTGCGAGAAAAGAAGAAAATCATCAGAAAATAATGGTTTTGCATTTATGATGAAAAGCTTCTAGTTTTGTGATCGTTTTTTGAGAAAAACTTGATGATTTTCGGGGAAAAACGGGAGAAATGTATTTTATTTATTATTTTTATCCCTAATTCGACGCTGAAAACATTTTTCAAAAATTCCTGCAAAGCTAAAAATGTATCTTGTAATTTTTCACGTAAAAGACTTCCAGGCCGTCAGTATTTTAATGTGAAACTGTACACAATAGAGGAATTGAGGTGACGAGTTTTCCAAATAATTTATTATAAAATTTCGCTCATTGTGTTGTTGTTGATAGAAAATTATTTGATTTTTGTCCCAAATTCGAAGCTGGATACGGATTTCAAAGCCTTTTACAAGTTTAGTGTTCTAATAAAATTTGTTTGATAATTTTTCGCGGAAAATACCTCAAGATTGTAAGTATTTTTGAAGTGAAACTTTAGAGAATTGAGCGTTTGGAAGAAAGACTTTGTGAAAACAGGAAAATTCTGAAATTTGGAAAAAACTTTAAAAATGTTATTAATAAATGGCCCTTTAATATAAATCTAAAAGCAACTAAAGGACTAAAAAATTAGGTCATGAACATTTTCCCAGCATCGGAACTGAGTTAATACGCCTGTGCGTTGGGTTGGCGCACCAAGCCATGTGCGCAGTACTGATCCAACTCCTCAACATTCACGGAGGAACCCAGGCCTATTTCGAGGACACCTCACACACCCTACGTAGGCCTCCTACCTTTGAAATAAAGTTTTCCAGATAGTAGTTAAAGTCCACTGCATTGAACTCGGTTTTGACTATTATGTCTCCTAGTACTTCCAGATCGAGGAATTCGGCGTTTGATTGCATATTGGCTGTTTCATCCAGACATAGATTAGGCTTCAACATTCCAGTTTCTAGAATTGGGCTTCCCTTAAACTAGTAATTGCTAATTATCATAAAATAATATAAGTTAATGTACACAGTGGGCAAAATCGGTCGTTTTCATGCAGTATTCCGGACACCACGGTGGTTACCAAGAAACCATTTTTGGAAAAAGGGAACTAGATGCATTACATTTTTCTTTTGCTAATATGTTCGTTCGAAACAAGGTAAAACTGAATATTTGCCGGATTTAACTTTATTGTTTAAATAATCATTTGTAGAGCAGAAGTCACATAAGTATAAACATATACGCATTGTCTAAAAAGGTTACAATATACCTAAACTGAAATATTTGTGACTGTATATTTTGGCGGCTGACTAACACTGAGGCGCTTTTGATTTTTTGTCGCTCTCCGAGTGAATGAGTTTTAACTCATCGGTTAATGAGTTATAACTCATTTATCGATGATACCGGAGACTAGAATTACAACACCTAAAAAAGGTGCGGGAAATTTTTGAGAAACTTAATTGTTCAGAGCAATGAGGGTGACGAGTTTACCAATTAGTTGATTATATACTTTCACTTTCTCTAATCGTTTTTGGGAAAACTTTAATTTTTGTCGAAAAATTAACAAGAAGACTTCAAACAAAACAATATAAACAAACTCGAGAATTCGAAAAAGACGATAAAAAAAACGAAACCACACATGAGGCAATGAGTTTTCTTGTACAATCGACCTCTTCATTTTCAGTTTCCAGTTCATCAATTTGCCATTATTTTACAGTGAAACGTTAGAAAAAAACGCGTTGTGTTGTTAAGAGAGTGTTTTGCTTAGAAATATTGACCTAAAAGTGAGGAAACCGGAATTTAAGAAGACCCAGATTATTCACAGCGACGAATGTGACGAGATTTCCAAATAATTGATTACATACTTTAATTGTTCTGTACGGGGAGATAAATAAAAAAAAAAAGTTCCAAATAGATTTGGAAAAAAATCTTGAAAAAATTATTAGTGTTTTGTACAAAAGCTGCAACGAAATTTATTAACCACAGAATATACCTGAATATTGTCAGTATTTTTAAGTAAAGCTATAACATAATCCTTTTTGCCTAAAAAGAATTGCTGAAGAGAAAGTTTTCTAGAACTGGAAGGACCTGAAACTATAAAAGTCTTCAGATCGATAAGGGGGCTAATTTTCCAAATAATTGCTTGTAAACTTTTGCTCGGATCTTTTTTTCGAGATAATCTTAATTTGTTTCGGTAAAAACTAAATAAAATTATTGGCTATTGTGCCAATTGCGAAGCTGAAAGTGGCGAATTTTTAATTAAAAATTAATGTTGTCACAAGACCCCATGATCGTCACGAAAGAAGAAAAGCATCAGAAATTACTGTTTTTTGCGCTTTTGATGAAAAGCTTTTAGATTTGTCATAAAACTTTAATGATTTTCGAAAAAAAGTCGGGACAAATTTATTTTCGTTTTTATCTCGAATTCGACGCTAAAAAAGTATTTGTAAAATTCCTATAAAGCTATAATAAGTTAATTTATCTTGTAACTATTCGCGTAAAAGACCTCCAGATTGTCAGTATTTTTAAGCGAAACTTCAAAATAGATAGTTTTTATCAGAAAGTAAAGCAAGGAAAAAATTTGGTCAAAACTGAAAACCTCGGTTGTCTAACAAACTCTACAGCATTCAGAGGAATGGAGGTGATGAGATTTTCAAATAATTTATGATAAAATTTCCTTTATTCTGTGTCTCGATAGAAAATTATTTGATTTTCGTCCGCATTTGAAGCTGGAAACGGATTTTAAAACTGTTTTCAAAGCGACCAAGGAGGCGAGTGTTTTAATAAAATTTATGCTATAATTTCGCGCAGAAAATACCTTAAGATTGTCAGTATTTTTAAGTTAAATTTTAGAAAATTGAGTGTTTAGAAGAAAGAAACTTTGTTAAAATTAGAAAATTCTGAAATGCTCAAGAAATTTTAAAAATATTATTTATATTGTACCGTGGATGACCGAGTATCGAACTCTTTCTTCAGCTTCCAACTTTTATTCAACTCGGTATCACTTTTAAATACGGAACAGGAACAAACTGACTTCTAAATTAACGTCAACTTCACAAACAATAACAATAACAGACG